GTTGGCCCCAGATTCTCTCTCCGAGACGTCAGCAAGAAGTAACCAAGCATCGCGCTCGTCTGCCCTTGCATAAGCCAATTCCCCCGAGAGAACAAAGCCCCTAGCATCGACCTCCTCGAGTACCTCTCTGCGGGATCTATAACGAACATATTCGTTGATCCTCTTCTCACGATTGAGGGCCCACTTTAACTCAGCCCGGGAGTCAGCAGCATTTTTCGCATGAATCGCCATCTCCTAATAAGCCCTGGTTCGACTCAACAACGGTTCAGCCCGAGCATCGGTTATCTCAACCCTGACCTTTGAGAGATCGATCTCGAGCTTCGCGATCATATCTTCTTGAACTGAAGCATTTTCACGAGCCAAACGGAGTTGGACCTCGAAGGCGGGAACCTTGGCCGAGGTGCTTTTCTCCTCTAAAACTTGAGCTTCCACCTGAGCCCTTAGTTCACCGCAAGCATTCCTGACGCGATCGGTTTCGTCCTTAAGGTATTCCAAGGCCTCTGTCTTTTTCTGCAGCTAAAATAGGAAAAAAGGGGTTAACCTTAAGAGTCAAAAGGAGCAAAGCGCATACTACGAAAGGTTACCTGCTCCGTCAAATAGTTCTCATGATTCGAACTCCGGTACGCCTCATATCGTCAATGCATCAACTCAACCTCCTTCTCCTCGCTGAGGAGCCTGAGGGGCTCACCCTCGTCCAGAGCTTTTCGAAGCCTGGCCCCTTGATGGAGCAGCTTAGACCTGAGCCTATCATAGGCCTGCAAAAGAAAAACTTGATAAAGAAAGGAGGGCGCAAAATACAGAAAAGTTGCGCCGAAACTCACCATAAAGTGGAGTCGGCGGACTTCCTCGAAGGCGGAGCACACTCCTGTTGGTCCTGCCCCTCCGACCCTGGGAGAACCGACTTTGGGAAAAGCATATTCACTCGGGGGAACCACCATCCTGGAATTAGACACTCCAGGAACAGCAGGCTCAGGCGATGCCCCTTCCTCGAAGGTAGGGGCCCGTTGAGCCCCATTAAAAGCTCCATCACACTGCGGGTACAAATCCCATTTATCGCCATCGTCCCTCAGCTCGGAGGTCGACGACTCCTTCCCCTCTTTGGAAAAGCACTGCCTCATCCCAAGGAACCGCCCGGTACCTACAGTGGCAAAGCCGGTACAAAAGAAAGGGGAAAATGTCATCTCAAATATACGAAGGCCAGGGCAAAGGCAGCGTGCGCGCATACCTTGGTATCTCGCTCCCCGTCTGATACGGAATACAGCTCGCCACCTACGCTCGTCGTAGGTCGAATGGGTCACCAACCTCCGAACCCAGCCAGGCAGACCGAGAACTTCGCCCGGTGTCCATAAAGTTGCTGCAAAAAGGGAGAAGCACAATTACTCAACTGATTTTTCGCTATAAGCAAAATCTGAGAAAGCGCTAGACACTCGACTCACGTGCGTAATTCCATCCCTCAAGAAATGGCATAAGCTCCATGGGGATGATGTCAGCTGTCTGGACCCGGACGGACCAACTAGTGCACTCTCGATCCCCATCTTCTTTGTCATCGACAACAAAGGGCGTGGACGAATGGCACCGTAGGGTTAGCAGGCCTCGGTAATGAAAGGGTCGGTACAGCCTGACGAGGTGACTGAGTGTGAATTCAAGACCAGCCTTCTCCGCAAAGGACCTCATCATCAGCACCACTCTCCATAATGACGGATGTATCTGCGCCAAAGTAACCTGATACTTCAAGCAAAAATCAAGCACGACCCTATTAAGGGGGCCAAATGCGAAAGGATATAGGTATACGCTCAAGAATCCACCAGCAGAGTCCATATGCTCTCATCCGGGGAAAGCACCTGCAGCGTTATCCCCTCGCTCCATCCGCAGTATCTCTTTACCATCTCCAGATGTTCCTCTTTTATCAAAGACACGGTCTTCAGAGCGAACTCCCGCAGATCCTGAGCGCCGGGAGTGGCACTTCCCACTCCCTGGCAGGCCGGCCTCGAATAGTTGCCATGGCTACGGTAGAATCGACAAACTAAAGCACGAATGTGCGCCAATGCTTTTTGTGCCTGAAGAAATGAAGAACCCTATGCCAAGGCGGAAGGGTAGCTATCTAAAATATTGAGGCCTTTTGCATCAAGTTCAAAAGAGACCCCTAGGTATCCAAAAGTGACCTTCACTCAGGTTACCATTCTCGAAAGCTCCAAAACTCAGCGTATTATCTCCATGCAACTCGGAGGTCAGCCGACAGCCCGAACCTATCAGATCAATTCAGGATCAGTCGGAGGTACAACGATGGGCTCAGAAAAGAGCCATCCCAATCAGTAGAGGATCGAAAATAACGCTCGCATTCGAGTTAGATATTAGCGGTCAACAACAAAGGAAAACATTCAAAGGCCTCAAAAGGCACGAGAGCTGCAATAATAAGGCAAGAATCGAAATCAGAAGTTAAGTATATTTATATTCATAAAAATCCATGTACAACAGCCCTCGAGGGGTCCTTACATACAATTACAAAAGCCTACAGAGGATCTCTACACCAAAAACGGATGAACGGAAGGATGTACATGTGATGAAACCCGAGAGCTCGATCCATCCTTGAAAATCCATCTCTGGTATCAGCATCCTCGGGCGTTGCCCCCTCAAGCACGCATCCTCGAGGGTGATTCCTTCGACCGCCGCTTCCTCTAGGTTCCTAGCTCAATCCTCCGGGGGGTCCCCACCATGGGGAAAAATGAAGAAGAGGAAAAGGAGGGGATGCAGAGGAGGCAGAGAAAAGAGACATGACCCGCCAAAGCCAAAGGTTGAAGATTCGGCGGACCCCAGCCTCAACAACCGGTAGTGCAACTTTATCCCTTGGGAAAGGAAAAACCCAAGGGATGAAGTGCCGCACCAGGCCTAGGTAGGAGAGTGAGCAGCGGTGCATAGCCCTAATGACTGCCTACGAAATGGGAAGACCGACTCCCCGTCCGACATCGTCTCGGGCCAACGACAACAACAACAGCGAACATAACAACAACCACAGCAGCAACAGGACAACATGATTATGCTTGACGAAGAGAAGCTCCGGCAACAAACCACAACACAGCCTGCGGGATCTCTGCCGAACGGCCTTGAGGCCATGAGACACAAACATGAAGTTCAAAGATGGAGGAAGATGATAAGAAGAAATGGGCAAATAAGCCAATGGAGGTACTGGGATAGAAATATCAACGCCAAGGCACCCCCATTTATAGGGGTAACGACACGGTCATCGAGGCTTTAGGAGACAGACCGACGGACGCAATTACTGCGCTCTTGAAGAACCGAATCGACGGCGGTACACTCGCCTTGGAGAACGGAAATTGGCAGCACAATAAATGATGTCAAATGCACAAGTCTGTGGGGAACCCCGGTTGCCACAATAGCTCGCGCCACAGGTTGCATCATTGGTGTGACGTCACCATAAGAAGCTCAAGGAGTCAGGTGTCATAATCATTTCTCATCGCTTCGTTCTGGGAAACGCGGAGACTATCTATATGCGGCGAAATCAGAGGACTTGATTTTCCGCTATCAAGCCACTTCGGAAGAATGCCTCGAGACCCCGAGGATGTGAAGCCACGACCGAGTTCCNGCACTACCTTGTAAAGGATTGATGTTACTCCAACTATTTCTCCACAAGATCAATAATATCTCTCTCTCTTCTCTCTAACTCGCTTGCTCTCACTGGCTCAAGGCCACTTTAGTATTTATCGCTTTCTTACTTGTTCTTTATTTATTGTCTGGCCTTGGCCATATAGAGCTTTGTTTGATCATAACCTAACTGTTATCCCATTTTCGACTATCCCCGATACCTCGAGCTCGACCCGGATATCGACCCCGAGGTCCCCTATCGACCAGTCCTATACCCGGGCAACAGGCCTCTCGGTTTGATTACTGCCTCGTTTTAGCTTGCATTTCATCATTAAACTTCATATTCCTAGCATCATCTGCTCTAACAACTAGCATAAAAATAGATCATGTATTCTTAAAATCTCATTTACAAATTTAATTGTTGTTACCATTTTCACGGTAAACACGAGTATTAGAAGAAAAGCACATTGAGACAAAAAAAAAATCTAAATTAAATTAAAGAAAAGATATAGTCGTGAACCTAAGAGTAAAAGTAGAAAAGATTTTTTTGCATTTACCTTAGCTTGTTAAAAAAAAAAAAAAAATTATCCATTTTTTGGTTTTGTTCTTCTTCTGCACTCTATAGCTGAAAAGCTTTGCAATTTCGCAAATTGGGGTAGGTTTCAAATTAAACATTAATTCACACATCTCACTCATCATCATTATGGTTAAGACTGAATTAGCGATGACTAATCAGTGAACATAGTCGCCATTTGGCCGACCGACCACACAGACTCTCCCTCCTCCTCGATGCCAACTACTAATATTGTTTGGTCTTTCAAGAAAAAGAGAATTAAGCAAAGACAAGAAACAGAAAGGATAAAGACAAAAGTCAGTGTTTGTAACGCATCTTCTTAGTAAATGTCAATCGTTTGTTTTGAAATACCGCCTCTCTTTCTCTAGACTGTATAGTAAAGATTTTGCACAAACGTCCCCTTAATTAAAATACTGAAAACTACACAAACATGTTTAGACAACATTAGCTTGCAATCATGTCTGTTAATTTACAATCATCCTTGGTTGTGCATTAAAGCCCTCCTTTCGGGAGGTTTTAAAAATAAAATAAACAATTTGCACTTGTTTTTTTATTATACTGAGCGGGATGCTTTCTGTACACACACGTGTATATGTATTTATAATTCTTTTCCTTTTATTTCTTTGGATATATAGGCGTATCTACCTTAGCTTGTCCCAAGAGTGTCTCATTACACGGTTTCGTTGCAAAGTTTTGTAAGATATGTATATATAGATAATAAATAAAATAAAAAATAAAACCGTTTATTATCATAGTTAAATTTTGACATTTCTTATGAAAAATCATGCTGCTTAAATTCATTTATATAAGAAAAACATGGAGACATGATAGATTTGCATGGGATAAAAGAGCAACTTTACTTCTTCTTTGTCCGTCTCTCTTTGCCATCTCCGCTTCTAACAACCTATATATATAGTAAACCACGTCTTCTTCTTCTTCCAACTACCACCCACCCCTCTTCTCATACATCTTTAATTACATCTCTTCTTCTTCTTCTTCCAAACCCACCCTCGATTTCTACTCTCATATATACATACATATACGCTTGGGATAGAAGAAGAGATCATATCATGGGGTTTCTCAAGGCTAAAGGAGAGACTTACAAGGCTGTTGATAATGTTGATCTTGGTCCCCATAGTAATGAATTTTATCTCCGAGCCAACGTCAAAGGTTAGCATCCCCATCACCCATGTCATCGATTCACTTCGTTTTTTTTCTTTTTTTCTCACATACATCCTTACTCCGTCTATTCTTATTTATATATTTTCTTATTAGTTAGTTTTGGAGACAATAACACGCTTTTATTTTCAAAATAATTAACTTTAAACTTTTCAATTTTATCCTAGTAAAAAAAATCTTATAGCCACACAAATTATGTTATGACATGTTTAAGATTATAAGTATCAAAAATCGTATAATCATACAAATATTATAATACATTTAAAATCACAAGTTTCAAAAATTATATATATACCAGTCTTAGGATATGGGTTTTGCAGGTGTACTCATATTAATGATACATAATTCTAAAAACATTGTGTAAATATTATGAGATAAATTATGTAAGTTATATAAAATTATAAAATCAAAATTAAAAAATCCTAAACATGAGAAATGTTGTTCTAATTCAGCTGGCTCAAACATGAAAAATCATATCTCACGAAAGTTTCAGGTCTTATTATGATTCATGAGGACTTATATCGGAATATTTTATGAAAAATATTATGACTTCTCTAACCTAATACTGAAAATAACACATAAAAATACCCTTATCACGATTCTTTAATGATTTGTCAAATCAAACATATATTATAAATTAAAATTTATTTAGAAATTTAGAAATAAAAAGGTTGACTTTATACCTCCTACAAAATTGATAGTGATAATGTAAAGTTTAAAGGACAACTAATATTGAATTCTATTTTAAATAAATAAATTAATATAAAAAATATAGCGCGACATTATCATTTTTAATTAAATGCAAGACAGAAAAAAATAACAAATGACAACTCATTTACATTACATTTCGTTTTCTGTTATTTTATTCATATTCTTTCAAATTTGTATTTTGTCGATTGACTCTTAATTTTATATTATAAGCAATTTGCTTATTTTTTTAGTTTCTTTCACTGCTAATGCTCTTCGTACGAAAATAAATGTACCTTAAGAGTTTTGTCTACTTGACAAATAATTTTATTTATATGTCCATATTGAAAAATAATCGAATCATATTCTTTTATTTGTTAGTTAATTAAAAACTTGATTATTTGATTTCAACATGAATGGAAATTACTTAGTTTTTTTTCATTCAAATTCTTATTATTATTCATCCTAATTTTTAAATATTTAATTATAATTATATGTTTGTCCAATAAGAAAGTTTTTCCAATTAGTAAAAAAATCATATATCAATTTTGAATCTTTGAGTCTTCAAAATTGTTATGTTTTTGACGCGTGTAAATTTTGGTAACTCATAATCTCTAACGTTTTAAATAACAAAAGATCCTATAGTTCATACTTTAATACCAATGGGCTCTAGAGAAGGAAAATTATATAAGATATTAAGTTTAATTAATTTTAAAATCTTAAATATTAGGATTTCCTGCTTAGTTTTATCACTAAGTAAAAATTGATGTTTGCTTAATTTTAAAATCTTGTCAGTAAAAAAATTATTAACTAAATTTTAGTTGATTTTAAATTCCTAAAAATTAGAAAAGTTACTTAAATTATAATTTTATCTAATGTGAAATCTATTTTAAAAGGATAAAAAATGAAAATTATATTTCACCAACAGTTTGTTTGGATGGTCATTACCTATTGTATTGTATCGTATTGTTACTTTAAACATAATATTTGTTTTATTGTTACTTAAACTTTATTGTATCATATCGTTAAATTCATTGTTATGTAACAGCGGAAAGTGTTACTTTATGTAACGACCGATTTGGTGTGGTCACATAATTACCTTGTCTTTTTCTCTTACCTTACCCTTTATTATTATTAAACAATCTTTTACCCTAACTTTTTATATAATAATTCTACCTCGTATCATTTTTTTTTTTTTTTTTTTTTTTGGTAATACTGCAAGTTTATTTTTTATATTGATGGTATGTGATATAATGAAACAACGGCAAACGATACAATTTATCCAAAGATTGTATTCATCAAACGATACAGTACAATATAATACAATACAATATGATACATTATGAAACTATATGTAACAACCATCCAAACAAGTTGTAAGAGTCTTCATGCTTTTATAATAGTACAGATATAGATATATAGACATACACATATATATATACACACATACTACTGGGCACATAGTTAAAAAAATAAAAATTGAATTTTGTGGTGTAAAGCTAAAGTTAAGAACATATACCAAAATATTGTTTGAATATTATGATCGTATACATGTCATGCCATTCCTTTAAGGTTTGAGGCTCGTTTAGAGTAAACTAAGGATGTTATATTTAAAAGCTTATTTGTCAGAAAATTTTAATAGCCAAAAACAAAAATCAAGGCCCATAAATTAAAAAGAAGGGTGTCACGACCCAAAACTCATAATAGGTTGTGATGGCACTTAACAATATCGTTAGGCAAGGCCACAAGTGAACCTACAATTTAATTACCCATTTTTAATATTTAAAATAAAAGTTTCCTTTTATAAAAGAATGAAATAAGTAAGATCTAATGCAACTGCACATACTTTTTTTCTCAACAAAATACAAGCGTGAGAAATACATCCACTGTAGTGACAATAATGATAAGTACAATAGTACATCAATGCTAAAAGCCCTCAAAACTCGGTGCCACAAGTGTATGAGCAATCTAGAAAATATATAAAATTAATACAACTACTGTCTAAAAGGTAATAGACAAAGATAATATACAAGGTAGAGGGAGACTCCGGTGCTGCAGATCGTAGCAAGGCAAGCAGCTCACCACTAAGTCTCCATAGAAGTGAGGCTACGTGCATGTGTGACCAATGGTAGTACATGTCTCAGTAACTGTACATTCAGTGCAGAAGTATAGCGTGAGTACGAAAAACAATGCGTACCTAGTAAGTATCTAGTCTAATCTCAAAGAAGTAGTAACGAGGAGTCAACTTGACACTTACTAGAAGTCAAACAGGAATAGAAATACATAAGTAGACATGGTGAATGTACAACAAGTAGCAACGAAGTAAGTAAAAGTAATTACAGTAATTCCACACGAGGCTTAATCAAATCACTAAACATGTCCTAGTTGGCCTTGAAGGTGCTAACCCAACTATTACCAAACACATGAGTCTTAATCAAATCACTAAACATGTCCTAACCGGCCTTGAAGGTACTAACCCAACTATTACCAAATCAAATCGAGTCTCAAATATTAAGTATGAAGCTGTCGAGGCGAACAACTTGATCCTATGGGAATAGTGGTACTCGGTACTGCTGAGGCTAACAGCCCGATCCCATAAGAATAATGTTACCACACTGCCGAGGCGAATGACCCGATCCCATAAAAGTAATTTATTTTTTTGCTGAGACAAATGACCCGATCCCATAAGAGTAGATAAATTTACCTCGCTCGCGGAAACACATACGAGACGAGAAGATACAGATCTATAGTTTATCAAATATCTCCCAATTTTTCCAAAGTAAGAGGTTAAGTCGGTATCTTTATTAAAATCCTCAATCTCAGTCATAACTAAGAAAATTAATATACCGGATAGGTATAAATAGCACAATTAAAGGCATGTTGTGAATCTAAGTCTACACGAACATATTATGAATATATCTATGTACGGACCTCGTCACCTCGTGCGTACGCAGCTCCCCAAAACAAGTATCACACAACAATTAATACACCTAAGGGGATAAGTTCCCTCTTACAAGGTTAGGCAAGAGACTTACCTCGCTTTTAAGTCTACTAACCATCTCTTTAACCTCACTAGAATTCCCCAAATTAAGCCGAGCAATCCGAAGCTAATCAAAAATCATATAAACTAATTAATAATTTCTCAAAAGTTCCAAATTAGCTATTAAACTAATTTTCCAACCAAATCTGGGAAGTTCATAAAATCGCCCCCAGTCCTAGGTGCCCGAATTTTGAAAATAAATATTACCTGTGACTTCACGAACTCAAATATATAATTTATTCCCAATTACATAATCAATTTCATGGTCAAATCTCATTTTTATCAAAACCTAAGTTTTTCAACAAACTCCTAAAATTTTAACATTTTATCCGTTAAAATCTACACATAACCTATGTATTTAACTTAAATTAGGTAGAAATTACTCACCATATAATGCTTGATGAAAATCACTCTCCAAGAAGCTCCAAATTCGGACCATACAAAAGAGAAACGGGAAAAATAAGCCTAAGTCTCATCTTTAAATCAAAACACTGCCCAGTTGACGCTTCTTTGCGATCGCGGAAGAAGCTTCACAATCGCAAAGGCATAGCAGGCCCATGCCCTGAAGACCTTCTTCCCGAACGCAAGGATAGTCTCGCGATCGCAAAGTCTTGCCCAGCCTAAGCTTCACGAACGCGGTTAGCCCTTCGCGTACGCGAAGAGCAAAGGTGGTTGACCCTCCCCAGACCCTTTATTCTACACGAACGCGGGCTTGTATATGCGAACGCGAAGGCTACTGGTCCCAGACCTTCGCGAACGCGATCCCTTGAATGCGAACGCAAAGGGAAAAAATGTCCAGTTCCCTAATTCCTTCTCCGCGAATGCGACGCCACCTCCACGTTCGCCAGGACCAGCAACATCAGGTTCTTAGACTTAGCTCCAAGCAGTCTGAAATTTCCCTGAGCCACCCCGGACCCCGACCAATTACACCAACGAGTCCATAAATATAATACTAACCTACTCGAACCTTTGAAACATGAAAAACAACATCGAAACCAAGAATCATACCCCAAAACCAACTTGAATCAACTTATGAACTTCAAACGTTTCAATTAGCTCTGAACGCGTCGAATCATACTTAGACTACTCGGAATGATACCAAATTTTTAGTACAAGTCATAAGTCACCATATGGACCTATTCCCAGGCTCGGAATCCCAAACGGTAATACCAAAGTCTATTGCAAACCAAATTTGAAGAATTAGAAAACCTTTAATGAACCAACTTTCCACTTTAAGCATTGAAATGCTCTCGGATCACCCAAAACCTAATCCGAATACACGCTTAAGTCCAAAATCATCATACGAACCTATTGGAATCATCAAATTTCGGTTCCGAGGTCGTTTACTCAAAATATTGACTCAAATCAAACATGATCATCTTAGGCCACTATTAGGGAACTAAGTGTTCCGATTCTAAACTGAACCCTTCCAAACATAAATTAGTCCAGAGATTAATCGTTAGGACTATAATCACCGGATAATTATATAGTTCAAATGTTTTAGTTAGCCTCAGTGGATATCAGGAGGGGTAGAGGTAGCCCTAAGAAGTCTTGGGGAGAGGTTATTAGGCGATACATGGCGCAACTGGAGCTGACTGAGGAGATGACCCTACATAAAAGGGTGTGGGGGTCAAAGATTAGGGTGGACGGCTAGTAGGTAGTCGAGCGTTTCTCTTTGTCTTATTCATTTCACTAGCATTAGTGTTAGTATTATATCCTTTTATTCATAGATTACTATTACTACCAAGAGTTTAACTGCTCTCTTGGATTCGGTCTTATTTTATCTTGTTGTTATTTCTACTTGTTGTCATTATCTTTTTTTTACTCATTCTCCGGCCGAGGATCTATCGAAAACAGTCTCTCTGCCCTTCCAGGGTAGGAGTAAGGTTGCGTATATCTTACCCTTCACATACCCCATTTGTAGAAAATTATTGGACTTGTTGTTGTTGTAGTGTATGATTTTGGGTGTGTTTGGTATGAAGGAAAATATTTTCCGGAAAATATTTTCCAATTTTCCCATGTTTGGTTAGCTTAGATGTTTTGAAAAATATTTTTCTTATGAACTCATTTTCCTCCAATTAGAGGAAAATGTTTTCCTTACAAGAGAAGGGAAAATATTTTCCAGAACTCCTTCTCAACCTTCCCCNTGAAGTTTACGGGTCTAGAAATTATAAAGTTTACGAGTTCGAAATTTCGCGGTTTTGAAAGTTTAGCGGTTCGAAAGTTATTGAAATTTTTGGGTCCGAAAGGTTATTGTTTTGAAAGTTTATGACTTCATGTTTATTATATCTAAATTATTTATAAATACTTTTGAGAAGTCATTTTCCTTAATTTGCGTACCAAACACCGAAAAATGAATAAGATTACTACTTATTTTCCAAGAAAACATTTTCTGTTATACCAAACACACCCTTAGTTACTTATTTGTCAATAGTTCTGTGCTCTCTTTTTGTGTCTGTTTTTCGTTTTTGTCTAAAGATTTGTGACAAGGATATGATTAGATGTACAGAGAGTTTATTGAATTTGCTTCACACTGGAATTAGGATATATTATGTGTTAAACTTTAGTGCAATAGTTTTCCGCCCTTTTTCTGTTTTCATTAATATCTTTTCTTTTTCTTTTATTTTTTAACTTATAATTCAGATTCTTAATTTAATTCAATTTTATTTCCTCGCATTTAATTTCAATACCAGCCCCTCGGATGGCCGGCTTTCTTGTTAAAGTGTTTGTATGGTTCTTGGAAATGCCGATCTTTGGATCCGTTATGCTCTACTTTTTGAAGAGAAATAACCTAATTCACAAGGTATGTTCATTTTATCCGCTTCTTTGCCTTTAATTGGGTGACACTGTTCGACTTGTACATTAAAATTAAATGATCAAAAGAAAAACTTGAATGAAAATTGAAAGAATCTAAAAGTATAATGAAAAAACTATATCGACTAAAATTATTTTAATTTTAAAGTATCAGACACTGTGCACTTTAAATGATCACAGAGTTTTCCCAAGCCCAGTTGTATCACACACAGGGTCGGACGCAAATGGATCGAAGCGGTGTCATCACACACCTTCATCGGAAAAAAATGCAACATTATATAAAAAACGAAGTAATATATAGTGATGACATCGCTTTCTAACCGAGAGTATTTCTTTATTTACTGGTCAAGCTCGTATTTGGGTTTGTAAAGGTTGTAGGTTCGAGGCTGGACCTAAATATTTTATTTCTATAACATCTTTGAACGAGCATTTTTGTTAAAAATTTGAGTCTAAGAAAAATTAAACTATATCTCCTTTGGAAATAATATTCAACCAAACCATTGGGCTAAGACTTGCAACTTGTAGGTAAATGATATTAAATAATACTTATTAATTTTTTTAGTTATATACGACACCGCTTACAAAAAGTCCTATATACATATCACCCCCCCTCCCCCCCCCCCC